AATGAAATCAAGTCAATTAAAATTTTGCCATCTTTAGTCACAGCAATTGAAGGAGCTTATAGTAGTAGTAGTTGTCGTACACTATATGACCCGGTCTCGAAAGAAAATAATTCCCCAATTTCTGTATATAACTTCTATAATTATCTATAATTAGCTTAGCTTCTATGATTTGCTCTTTATTAAAGCAAAAAACATGTGGCATTCATTGGCATTTTATCAGGAGGCTTTAAAAATAGATTTAAAATTTAAAAAAAAAACACAAAATCATTTTAGTGTACGTGCTGTTCTATTCTCAGTTGACAATGAACCTGCATGACTGAAATAATCTGAAAATTGTTAAATTAAGTTAGATTATTTGAATATGGCAAAGCACACGAGGCTTATTTACCTAATGGAAAAAATGCCTTCGTGGAAGACTTTCTAAGGAAACTTGGCTCGTATTTGCGTCACTCAACAGAAGTAAACTTTATAGTACTTCAGGAATATACCCTGTTTATAACGTAAGTGTTTGAGAAAATGTATATTTGCGAGTAGCATTTTTATCCCGTATGAAACATATGGAAACTAAAATAGGGACAAAACTTTCAAACAAATACATTAACTATATCTTTCGCAGTCTCTGCCACGTCAATAAGATTAGATATACAGGGTGATTCAGAATTCATCATCAATATTGGGTGGGGAGGTAGGGAATAGGAAAAGAAGACTTCACATAGGAAAGTATGGGCGCAAAACGAAACACATGGTGGTGTAGAGGGTGCTGCGTGTATACAACTTCCATACATAAGCACAGCTGTGCAGCCAGTCATCATTCAACTAGGTGACTGCAGAAGTAACATGAACCGGTATATGTGGAATGAACCTGTAGATATGCATGTAAATGCCAGGCATATTCCAGAAGGTCCGGTTGTTCATGCAACGCCGTTGTGAGTCATGCATTATAGCACATGGTCAGCAGTTCGAGCACCTCTTGTAAGTCTGTAAAACCGATACAAAGAAATGTTACATGTAAGATAATAAATGCTTTTTCCCTTACCATTTCCTTTTTATGTGTTCTTTCCATCATTGAATTGGGGTTATTTTGCCCTACTACATGGCATATGCGCATTCCTAAGTGAAATCTCCTTCTTTTCCTATTCCTTACCTCCCCACCAAATATTGATGATGAATTCTGAATCAACCTGTGGATGCACTCATTATGTTCTGATTTTTTTTCCCTGTTGTTGGATTAAAATATAAATACAAATTCATTAGACGTAATAAGATAAAGAGTATAATATGACGATAATAAGTTATATTATAGTTATTAATAAAGAAGTATTGAATTCTATATGCTCCTCTGGCCCACTAGCAGCTAAGCTGCGGACTGGTATGTTGGCCCGGATTCAGATCTTGGCAGTCAGATGGGAGTTTTCGAGGGTTTTGCCACATGTAAAGTGAATAAGAGTCAGTTTCCTTCAAAATACCCTCCACGAAGACATTCCTTCCGTCATGCAAATACGCCCCGCATGCTTTGTCATAATCCAATCCAGTCCTATATGCGACCCAGAAGCTGTAAAAAGTTACACATCCCTGATCTAGAATGTTGTTTATTAAATCGTTCAAAACTGATGCAAGTTTATCAAGCAAACACATTAAGAATTTCAATTCTTTACGTCTTTGCATGCATCGTACATTTATAAATGTATACCAATATGCTATACAAAATCAAATGCAGACATCTCGAAATGTTTCTTCAGTTTTATTATAACACCAAGTCTTTCTTCGTAATATTATTTTACAATGGAAGAGCACAAGCTTTCATATTACATTTTTCATTAAATACCGTGTTTTACGAGCATCAAAATTAATTTTTCGAGTTATTTTAGACGTTATATCTTGTCACCTCGTCGGTTATTAGAAAAATATAACACGGATTCATTTTTCCCAGAAATATGGAAATCTGTCACCTTTTTTAACTGATTTCTGTTTTAATATCACAAGACTTTTCAGATTGTTCTGATTGTTGTTGACTTTTAGAAGTACCGTAACATAATCCGTTTGCTTGTTCAAAATTCAATATATTTTCAAAGCGTTGTTTTTTTTAGCCCTTTTTTTTATTATTAAATGTTTGTTTAAACTGTCCAAAACATTCTGCCTTTTCATCCTGAGGATAACGCTGGAAAAATTAAATATAGGTTGAAACTGTTTTAAAAACGTATATTACCTTTAAATCATTTTACAGGAAACAACGAAATCCGATAATGCCTAATCGAGATCTCAGTTTCGATCATGTTGACTCGAAACTGACATCTCGATTTGTCGATAATGGCGGTTGAAATTCCGATAAGTGGGTGTCTGGTATGAGGAAAACATGCAAACAAGCAAGGGTCACGTATCCTTTACCGCATGCGTAACCGCTTCTGAGCAGATGCCAATTATAAACATGCCAGTTAAATCGTATTCCGGCCCAATCAATGTGTTTTCCCCCTTACATTTATGCTTACAGGCTTTATTTTTTTTTAATTAATTTGTTAATACACACAGTTGCTCCATCGCTCCTACCATTGCTTTGGAAATAAAGATGAAAGTTCTATTGTGGTATCTTCCGAAGTTCAGCCGTCGCGTTGGTTTTGATGTTTTCAACGGTGTCAAAACGGTTACTTTTGAGGCTTTGATCTTGGGAAAGAGCCATAAATCCGATTGTGCTAAATCCGGTGAATAGGGAGGCCGGTGAAGGAGTGGAATGTTCTTTTCTGCCAGCTATGTCTGCACAGCAATCGATGTGTCGAAGAAAGCATTGTCGTGATGCAGTAATCATCCTCCTTGCCAACTGGCGGGACGTTTTCTTCGGATTGCTTCCCTCCATCTTTTCAAAACTTGCACATAAAAAGGGCCGTTAACAGTTTGACCAGCTGGTACAAATTCATGGTGCACCACACCTTTGTTGTCGAAAAACGCAATGAGCAACAGTTTTGTTTTGGATTTGACATGACGTGATTTCTTTGGTCCAGGAGAGGACGTGGTGTGCCATTTTGATGACTTCATCTTTGTCTCTGGGTCGTAAGCATATACCCAGGTCTCGTCACCAGTAACAATTGTTTCAAGTAAAGTCGAGTCCTCAGTGCTTTTTTCGAAGCATTCAGTCGCAGTCAACTGCCGAGTTTCCATTTGATCCAGATTCAGCAGGCGTGGGACGAACTTTGCACTGACAAATCTCATCTTCAAATCATCTGACAGGATTGCGTGAATGGTTCCATGAAAGATCCCCACCTCCTGTGCCAACTCGTCGATGGTCATTCTTCGGCCTGAGCTGATTAACTGTCTCCCTTGCTCGACCATTCCTTCATTTCTGGAGGTTGAAAGTCTCCCACTACGGCTCTCGTCTTCCAGCGATCCCTGACCACCCCGAAATCTTGAAAAACGGCTAATAAAGTCTCTGAAGCAGATTTTCCCAATTTGCACAAGAACTTGATGTTCGCCCTTTGCTCGAACTTCGACATAGCACCAACTGATCACCACACCCTCCTACCTGTACTTTGATACTGAGTGGTATATTGGTGTTCAGCAGAGATGACTTATCCTGCTCTTACCAGTTCGCTGAGGGTGTCTCTTAAGAGGTCTGTCTTTTGAAGAAAACCTGAAGAAAATTCTTTGTGTGAGAAGAAACTTAGTCGGAGCCCTCCTACCTTCAGCTACATTGTCTGTTATGAATTCCGGTAGTAAATAAATATAGTGGTAGTATTAATTATTTGTGGTTATAAAAGAGTTACAACGAAATTCCGAGAGCTTTTTGACTGCCCCTCGTACATATCTTTAGCAACAAATGTTGTACTTTTGACATCACGGATTAGAGGGAAAACACAGACACGAGGAGAATGTTTTAAAATGTTTATGTTTTATAATTGAATACAAAAGAATTGGAGGCATCAATAAACCAGGTCAACAGCTAGTATATTTTTATGGTTATCGGAATATGTATGAAAATATTTGCGTATGATTGACATTGCACTCCATAATTTATATCTGTTTTATAACACAATCAATAATCCAACAAAAACGGGAACGGCAGCTTTAAGACTAGACACAACAGAACAAATTATATAAAAAGTTACACTGTCAGATTATAAAACTCGTGGACGTTCTTCACACAGTGGTAGCCCAACTAGATTGTAGGAACAAAACTTGGGCCACTTTCCAGACATTATTTCAACGACTAAGAAAACTAACCATACTAAAAGGTGTGCTACAAGAATAAAAGTAGAAGTGATACTCCCAGGCAGAGTAAACAATGCAGGCTACCTTTGTACCTATCAAAATATTTAGAAAAGTACCATACTCTTGAATACTATTAACTATACTTAAATTCTTCTAGATTATACTTGATTATTTTGATGTTTTACAATTAATCATGACTATATATTTGATTTACTAAATATATGAATCATAAAATGACATATGTGTTCTTTATAGCAGTTTATATAACACAGTGATTAGACAGATTTAAATGTTTCATTTTCAAAATTAAATCATATCGCAAAAGGTTCATCAAAATGTATAAAACTGCGTACACAAATCTTGTATCACTAAGCTTATCTTTGTCAATTGTACATGAAGTTTCTTAGAATTTGGCGACTGTATCTGAGTCTTTATTTCTCAACGATAAAACGTTTTTAATATTTGAAGAGATATTAGTATGCAATTCAGAGCAGAATAATTAATTTATAGCAGTGAAATATCCGATATCCTTTTATAACATCACATTGGTACACTAAACTTTGGTGATAAAAAAAGGACCTTTTAAAGACTTCAAGGAATCAACCTTTACAACTTTTGGATGCCAAGTAAATGTAGATATGATTCATATTTGATACCTATTAATAGAGTTTCTGGTATAATTCGCATAGAATGTTATATTTTTCCAAATATCATAGCAGCTATATAAAATTGAGCATATCAGACAATGCTATGCATATTATGTCCGACGTAATTATTTTTCTTTTTGTCTGTTATGCATTTAGATGGATACTTAGCAACTTTGTTTACTGCTGCAAAGACAGATGTTCATTTTAACGGATATTGAAAGGTTGGCTATTTTATCAGGGTGCGTTGGCCTGCTTGTTGTAGTTACTATTATCACAATTTGTTTTGCTTGTCCGGGTTGTTTGATATTCAAATTATTAACAAGAAGACATGGAAAAAAAGGTAAGTTATAGTTTTTAACGTGCTTATCAATTCCGGAAGTATAGATTTTTGTATGACACATTTGGGTATTGTTCTGTTATCAGAAATGTATGCATGTAATGGATGGATTACATGCATGTATGTACGGATGTATGTGTTCATGTATGCTATGTATATATGTAAGTAGAAATGTATGTGTGCATACATTCACACATTTTTTAATCCGATCCCGATAACAGAACAGTACCCACATTTCTTTCTCGATGTAACCGCTCTAAAAAGTTTTTTAATTTTTATCAGTTATTTTATCAGTTTTTATCAAACAGAGGCTGTTCACATATTTTTTAGACGATGTATATTGTATTCACAAAACTAAATTACATAAAATTCTTGTGTTTTAAATGTTCTATTTGACATCCCTTATTCTGAACTATCTTTCGACACCGCAATTTCCAGGATAATAATGCCTTTTGAAGTGGCAGAAGAGGTATTCTATCCCAATTCTCACGAACAGCTTTCCAGAGTCCTGTTAGGGTTTTGGGACAACGTTTGGATAATGCAGTTTTTAAAAGTCCGAAAGCACAAAAATCCATAGGTGACACATCGGGAGATTTAGTAGGGATATCAGTGAAGGGTATGGCCTTGATTTTTGTTCCATTTCTTTTAGGAAATTTACAGTGGATTTTGATGTGTCACTGCTAGCTTTGTCCTGAAGGAGTCTCACAGATTGATGGCACTGTGAGTAAAGTGATAGTATTTCATTCAGAAAAATTGGCGATAAAATATGTTCCTGATAGTATTTGGAGTTAATTTTGACATTTTTTTGCACTATCTTTATTTTTAACTTGCCATTATAAGAAAAACCAGCAACAATCATGAAGCCCTTAGAAAAACTTTCCTTCGATTCTTTGAACAAAGTACTTAAATTTTTTTCGCCCCTTTTATGATAATAAATGGCTCTTTTTTTGTTAAAATCATTTAAATACACCCATGCTTCATCTATTTTGACAATTGTTTTCCATTTTGCTTTGGATAAGTGTTTCTCATATAGAATTCTGCAGCGTGTCCTGCGTTGAGCGATATGCTTTGGAAGAAGACGATGCACATAGCGTTTTTTCGCTTTCTTAAGATTTAAATCAACGTTTATCATTTTCTTTACAGTGGACACCGAGCATTTTTATGATTTTGCAACTGTCCTTTGACTAGGGGATTTTCTTTTAACATTAAACAACGTAACTCTGCAATAGTCGAAGACGTCCGTTTTTTCCTTGGATACTTGTTTGGAATTTTTGTCCCACTTGAGGCTCCAAGTTGACGTTTTTTTTCCTTTGTTGTTGATGATATTACCTATCGACGCTTTAGATATCACAAAACCATGACTCTCACATCGTTTTTGGATAACGGAGTATGCATATTTCTCTTCGGAAAGAAAGTAAATGTAGCCTTCGAACCACTGCTTTGTTAATTGTTAAATTCGCCATTTTGAATAAAAACAAAACTTTCAAGCCACAGACGATAATTTTGACTTTTAAAAACATAGTACAATTGCAATTACTTCTTTTGCAGCAAACGATTTTTTATTACCGCTTACCAAAATCGTCTAAAAAATGTGCGAACAGCCTCTGTATTTTAATTGTGCTTAACTTACTTATCTACATAATGGAAACCTTTGGTCTAGAAAATATAAATCATTTTAGCACAGTTAAGGATTTTATTTACTTCCTATGAAAAGGCTGATAGGTATATGTAATTTAAATATCAATATCGTCAAAAATGTGACAGTATAATAGTTCAATGAATGGCTAGCGAATACAAGTGCCAAGAATCAAACACTTTTAAGGATGTTGGTCAAAAATATACACGAATATACCTTAGTAAGTTCTCAACTTCCCCACTACGTCCCTCATCGTTAAGCTTTACGATTTCATCATTACTTACGCAGTTTCCTCAAGTGTTCTGTTTTAAATTGTGACAGAACGCTCAAATTATCGGAAGTTGCGCTCACTTGAGGAATCGGAAATTTTTATGAAATCTTTATTATCTCATCAGAAATGTTTATCAAATCAGGCGGCAGGTTCCTATGAAGATGCAATTTAAAAATTGTTAGTGCCTTAATGAAAGCGGAAATTACATTGAAAAGTTGGTCAACGCCCAGGCATTCATATAAAATAAAACTGTTGAAAAGTTGCCCTTGTATTTATGTAATATTAAAACAGTATTTACTTAAAACACATGTTTAAAATATATTTTTAAAAAATGCTTTTGCTCTTTTTATAATTTGTGTGTTATTTACACCTTATAATAAATGAAACTTTAAATTATATTGCATTGACAGATTTTCGTTGATATGCAGTTTATAAGTATGTGCATAAACAATTAAATAAATCAGACATAAACATAATTGCTACTTTTGTTAAAGGACTGCTAAATGTTATTTTTTATTTATACAAAGCATTTTACTTAAATACTTGGATACCCTGTGATTAGTTTTCTTACTAAATAATTCCTAACTTCTTCTGTAATATTCGATATATTTCAATAAAATAAGTTTGAAAATATCATTGATAATTCTGTATCTGAGTATAGAAGATGCTGAAATGAAATGCATGAGAAGCAATTTTCAAGTTAGCTTCCTGGATAAAGAGCCTCCTCCTCCTTACGAGCCAACGTCAAGAATTTCTTTCTTAGATATGAAATATCCTCTGGAACTTAGCAGAAAACTCACGAATACGAATAGCGTATCCAGTGGATGTTCGGACACTGACTCTGTTGCAGGAATTCCTTTACCCCTTCTTGTAAGTAACTCGCTAGTCTTCAAATATTGTGTAACTGTTACAGTACCCATTATTATAAATATTTATCCTTAATTTAATACGTGGTGTAAGATGCAATATAAACTGAACTGTGGAAATGACTTGTGATGTATAATGCAAAGAAATTAAAAGACGCTGTAAAATTAAACTTCGGCAGCCCAAATTTAGACAAAATGGGAAACCTTAAACTTTCAGTATGGCATTATTATAAAAGAAGTTTGAAGTGTAAGCTGACAGGTATCACTTTGAAACTTAGAGAGGTTTGTATATGCTGATATGAAAATTTTTCAAGTATTCTATGGGATAATCTATGGGATAATCTAGGCATTCAATTAAGTCAAGGGAATCAAAGCACAAAATGGCTGCGCTCACAGTGTAGAAAGTTCGTTTTGTTTTTTCAAGCTCTTTTACGTCCAACAATAATTTCAGTTTGTATGAAATCAATCTAAGCCGTTCTCTCAAACTTTTCAGTATTATAAGTTGTGAAATCGAAAATTCAAGGCTTGCCCTTTTTCATGATTTCCTTGAGTTTTGTTGGAAGACATTGCGAACTCATTGAGTTCTTCAATTACATGAGGTTGTTAGAAACTTTTACTATTGCACATGTCTCACACTTTAAAATTTCTTATACTAATCATAGATATGCGTGGAAGTGTTTTTCTGAAACTGGATTGAAATTTACATTGAATCAAGGTAATAAATTATGTTTTGCTGAATTCTAAGTCTAAAATGTTTGAGTCGTTAACGAATTTTGTTTAGAAATTAATTAACTATTTTGTTAAGAAAGCAAACTATCAAAAGAACACGGTAAATAAATTAAGAAAAATAAAAATGAAGAACCATAGAGAATTGAGAAATTAATTTTTCTTTTGACGGACGTTTCTTTTCTCTCATGGGTCTCTCATTTCTTTCACGTAGATGTAAATCAAAACGTTAGACAAAATGTAAGACAGCTAGACGAGACAAACCGAAATAAACTTTGTTCACATAACCAGTTGGCTATGGAACGACAGACAAGAAGCTAGTCGCGAGGTTCATTACTAAAAGCTTAATTTTCTTTCGATTTTCATATGTTTTGCTTTCAACTAATTTTAAAAGCGTAATGTTCATGCCTCACCTCACAACAGCAGTTTCAGGCTGCACATGAAGAACTAACATTACATCACACATATAGCTAAACAATTTACAGAGTTAAAGGATCACGTCAGTCAACATGTTACTAGTTGGTAACCGATTGACACATTCAACCAGTACACACTAGCAGGTCTTACCAGATGTTAAAACTTACCAGATGTTAAAAAATTCATTTCCTTACCAGTGAAAAAACACTTTTTTTTGTGTTTTTCATATATTTTACTGAATTTTTGCAAGCTTTAACAAAAAACATATTAACCATTAAATTCATTCCCATAACAGCTGTAAAGGAAACCACCTTTACCTTATTTTCCTTTTATTTTCAAGACCTGTGGACACCACATGGTGTGCATCATCGATACACCAAAAACATGAATAGGTTCTCTAATTCCATCACTATTCAAGGCTATGATAAAAATTTTGAAATTTCCTCTATTCAGGGAAATACACTGACTACCAATAAATATTTGGACACCCATGCAAATGACGATATCTGCGGTCCTAAGGTACGTCACGGACTCCGCCGTTATATATCGTGTAGGAAACAGCATCGGCTTTAGTTGCATGCAAGATGCCTCGCAGTTTGGAGCTCTCCGATTTCGAGAAAGGTATAATTATCGGGTATCACAAATGTGGCCGATTCTTAAGGGACATGTCTAGCGATCTGAAGTACCCAAAATCGACAGTGGCCTATGTGATTAAGAAGTGGAAGGTGAGCGGTGATTGTCGAAATGTGCCCCAAGTCGGCAGACCAACGAAAACTGGAGATAGAGACCGACGAGTGCTGTCCAGAGAAATTCGGAAACACAGCACCCAACCGATGGCCCTCATCTGCGAGGAGTTTCAACAGGCATCCGGGAGTACTGTTTCAATGAATACCATCCGTAAGGAAGCACATCTGCTTGGTTTTCATGGTCGTGCTGCTGCCTATAAGCCTTTGATCACAAAGTCCAACCGCGGTGCTCGGTTAATGTGGTGCAAAGCACATCGAAATTGGACCGTAGATCAGTGGAAACGGGTTCTTTGGAGTGACGAATCAAGGTTCACCCTTTACCGTTCGGATGGCAGGGTCTGGGTCTGGCGTCTTCCTGGAGAACGTCTCCTGCCAGAATGCATTGTGCCAACAGTCAAGTTCGGCGGAGGTGGAATTATGGTCTGGGGGTGTTTCTCCTGGTATGGGCTGGAACCCTTGGTCCCCATTCATGGAAATCTCAACTCCGATGCCTACTGCACTATTTTGGATGACAATGTGCTTCCTACGTTGCGGCAGTTTTACGGGTTGGACCCCTTTCAGGACGACAATGCCAGTTGTCATGTTTGGACGTTAGCCAAGGCTTGGTATTGTGCCAATGGAGTTCATTGAATGGACTGGTCTGCCCAGAGTCCAGACCTGAACCCTATCGAGAACCTCTTGGACGAGTTGCATCGCCAAATTCAGGGGTGCACTGCCCGTGCAAAATCAGTGAAGGAACTTCTATATCTTCTTCAAGCCAAGTAGAAGAAAATACCACTAGTTGTCATACAAAGACTTGTGGAAAGTATGCCCCAGAGGGTCCACGCTGTAATTACCTCTCGTGGAGGCTCTACCAACTATTGATTTTGAATAAAGTTAGTTTTTCTTTTCTATCACAGGTGTCCAAATACTTATTGGTAGTCAGTGTAGTGAAACTTAATGAGCTTGTGGTTTTATAGTTAGCTTTCGTTCAGAAAATGAAAAGATTTTATTCTTATCGGCTTGTTTTGTTTGAGTATATCAGCTTTCCAAGTTTTATCCTCCAAATACGGGTTTTTCATTCTTTATGTCTTTTGTAAGACACGAGATAATCGTTATAAAGATTATTGAATCTTTGTGTTGTAAGCATTGTATTCTCATTGCACATTAGTTAAGGCACCATAAGTGAGAAAATTATCATTTTTTCTCATATTTTTGAAAAGAGGAAAACAAACTGAAGACATGCCCAAAGCATAACACCGCCACCAGGAGCCTGCGTATGATCTGCTGTATAGGGGAAGCAAATGTTTGCCTGGAAAATGCCATACCCTGACACCACCATCGACGACGTGATGAATGAGAAATCATGATTCATCCGACCAGGCAACGTCTTCCATTTGGTCCACAATGGTCTCAATGTTCCTGAGCCCACTGTAGCCATAGTTGAGAATGACGCTTGGCCAACAGAGGCACACGAGTGGGACGTCTGCTGTGCAACAGTGTCCACTAAACTGTGTGTTCTGAAACTCTTGCACTGATAAATAGAGCAGCAGATCCTCGACTAAGATAACCTTTAGAGTCAAAAATCTAATGGTGTTAAATCGTGGCAGATGCGAATGGAAAATGATACAAAATGATGCGATTGCCGATAGGGCAGGTAAGGTTAGTTAAGTTATTTGAGTATGGCAAAGCACACTAGGGCTACATGCCTGAAAGAAGGGATGCCTTCACGGTGGATTTTCTAAGGCAACTGACTCATATCCATATTATACACGGGAAAAGGCATGAAAACCAACATAAAAATCTACACATTGGCCTTAAAATACATTTTCCAATTTAAAAAATCATGTTATTATAGTGAAGGACTTAAGATCATCAATGATTTTAATACCCACGTGGAAAAAATGCTTGTAATGCACAGAACAAACTTTCAAACAAAGCCATGTAATGTACTTTCAATAAATTTTTGTAAGCATAAAACCTTGTGGTTAATTTCAGACATTTTTGCAATAATTGAACTTTTTTAATTAAGAATTTTCATTAATTTCAAATTCAGATAACTATTTGTGACTATATTACTTATGTAGTTATCATTTATTTAAAGCTTGATACACCCTGAATTTCTAATTAAATTATATTTTTAGTATGTACACCTGAAGAAGTGGCACCTCTATTTAATGGTCAAAATATCTGGTCCAGTGGGTGTCCCTTATTGTGAGGTATACTGTATATATAACTAACTGCAAGTTTCTCAAGAAACATTAAGAGAAAAATACAAGATTAAATAGGCCTACTGCCCAAATTTCTACTTGACTATGGTTTTCGCATCCTGGTTCTTAAAAATAAAAGCCAAAAATAAGCTCAGATCCTGGCAAAGAATTCATTTTCTATGCACAGCATTGAATGTGGTTTATGCTATAATATATGAGGTACTTTAAATCTGATCAGATAATGTGCAAAAAGCATCATTATGCTACAAAAATATAATTCCTTATTTAGATAACAATATTTGCATAGCTATGCAAGTGTACACTTTTTGCACTGATATATTACTCAAAGTAATTTATTTATCCAGAGTGATACAGAGATTCCTGCTCCAGATAATCGAGAAACATCACCTTTTGAACCTGGAAATGTCTCTATTACTCTTGAATACAAGCAAATTATTGGGCAAGATAAGGAAATATTCTCTCAGTTAAGAGTTGATCTTAAGGTAAGTTTAATGACAGTTAAATTATTTCTGCAATTAAAAAAGCATTTTATCTCATTAAAATCCTTCAACAGATGGAATATGCTTACCACGCTTATTCTTACGTTACTTTGTACATGCACCATAAATACAACAACACTTACATACTCCTTACAACTTAAATCTGATAACAAGTTTAAATTTATTTTTCCACAATTACATTTCATCAGTCATCAATCATAGTTTTAACTTGTAATAACTGCTTGTTAATTTTTCAGGGTGATAGCTGAAATAAGTGCAGGAAATGATACTCCACAAATTATATATTGCCTTGTTTTAAATACGCATTTTGCATTTAACTTAAACATAATAAATTCAACCTTTAAATATGTGCTGTATTACTACTAAAATAATCACTATCTCAAAGTTCAAAAGACATTGCATATTCTCTTCTTTTAATTAACCATTTTTTGCCAATCACATAAATGTAATCAAATTCCTCATTCAAACACGTATTGTATAATTATGCGTAAGAAAAAATCACCATTTCAAATTTCAAATAAAATTGAACCTATTTATTTCTTTTGTGCTAAATTATTATTTTTACATTAACGTAAATACAATCCAATTCGCCTTTCAAATCCATGTAACATGCAGTTCCTGACTCCCTCCAGAGGTAAACACCTTTAGAATCAGACGTTAAACTAAACATTGACTCATCATTAAGACACAATAACACACCGAATAAATACTAATTCAGAAGACAAACAACAAAAATCAGCGTAAATATAACGCTGATTTTTGTTGTTTGTCTTCTGAATTAGTATTGACTCATCAGTAAAGAGAACATGGGATCATCAGTGTTCACTGTAGTTTGGATGCTTTTTGCGCCAGTTAAAGTGATCCCTCTTTTGTTGTGAAGACAGTGAAACACATACCCTTGGCTCTCTGGCATAAAAGTTTTTTTCATACAGCCTTTTGTATACAATTTGCCATGATACAACAGTTACAGTGGTGGCTGCAAGCTCTGAGTTTAAACGCTGAGAAGTAGACTTCCTGTAAATGGGCAATTATTCTGCCAGATTACTAATAATGAGAAGCAATTTTTTTCGTTTACGACCTTCTCTGGGCCTCCTTACAGCAGTTCCAGATTCTCAAATTTTCCCCATAGCATAGAGATTGTCTTGAAATATTAACATACCTCACTGCTTCCATGATTGTCTGCCCTGCTTCTAACTGACTGATGATTCGCCACATCAACGATTTTTCCAAATGATACTTCGGAACCATGAGAAATTATGTCGAGTTCTAGTACACTGAAATCAAACGCTGTATCCCAGAAATTCACATATTCACTTTGTACAAATCACTCAACTCATCGTCACATGATGTAATACCTTCATTTGCATGTCAGAAAACATTTGATCACTTTTGATTGGATAATGTTAATTAGGTTTGTCTTTCATACATTTCCTGCACAATTGGGTTACATCAACTCAAAATTTCATGGAAAATCATTATTTTGGAGTATGTAAAGATACATTTGGACAAGAGTATACAAAAACGCTACGCAACCAGGTATTTCAGTCTCCAGAACAAAAGTCGAATCAACTACCAGTGTTCTACAGCTTTATCCAATCTGTAACTCCCATTACATACAGAATTTGGTTCGTTTGCAATAGATGCTAAATACCAAGTTGCACAGTATATGGTATGGCCTATGACCACACATCGCCATGTACTGCATATATCTGTTATGTCATTCATATCTAAATCAAAATAATTTCGGTCACTAATAGTGATTCTATATTTCTTCAACCAGTCAAAGCCAAAATTTGATCTTATAACCTGAGCACAGCCAAAACAAAAATCCACCTTCTCATTACACCAGTTTTTCTTTATTGATACTAATTTGAAACTTAGTCGTACAACTGCCATATTCATCGTAGGCAAACTAGATCCTTTTGCATATGAGACCTACAAACGAACCCAGTTCCCACTATCTCTGTTGCCTCCTACATCACTTTTAGGAACATTAATAGCTACACTTGATTTGAAAATGTGTTGTACTATTAATAATTTACATGCTCTCCTGTTATATACTATCATGAAAGTTTTGCATTAATAAGGTCTTTTCTGAGGCTGTGCTTTTAATGTATGTAGGATTTACAACACATATATTAGTTAAAATTAGACCGCTCTATTTTCACTATGAAGCTGCACAGACAGTATAGTGGTTAGGGGAGCCTGACTGTGATACCGAAGGGCAAGGGTTCGAATCCCAGAAAAGGCATGGATGCAAAATTGTCTGTCCCTTCATAGGAGATAGCAGTGGCCGTCTATTAGGCACCTCCACAATAAAATGGCCACCACTTATGGCCTTAGGAGTGGCCAATGCCATAATAGGCAAGTGCCCACCAGTAAGGGGGGATTCACTATGATAGGAGAGGGAAGCCCGAATGATTATTTAATAGCAATTTTACATTAACAGTTGTATACTGTACAATAAATAGGTCATTATGTCAATGAAAACAATTACAATACATTAACTATACATGACATTGAAGGCTATCAACAGCACAAGTGGATACTAAATTTTGAAACATTAAAACCCATATTCTTTAATACATTTTGAGCAGTTTAAGGCTTTTCATTTTTTATCATCATTTTAGATGCTATCTTATTGATTCCATATCAAATGAAATAATAAACATATCATTTTCTTAACAGGAAGCTGATGATCTCCCAATTCGAGTGTATGGAGGGTACTGTAATCCGTATTTTATTATAAGTCTTTATGATGCAAAAGGATTTAGCAAGAAGAAACGTCGTAAATCTGGTCCCAGTCCAATGCACCAATTCCATTCAACTGTGGTAAAGAAAAGTCAGCATCCTATATTCAATGAATCCTTTTTCTTTCCCTTGGTACAAAATGAAGTTAAGAAATGTTTACTTAAAATTGAAGCTTGGGATCAAGACAAACTGGCAAATGACACACTTTTAGGTGAAATCATTTTCAACTTAAAAGATGTTGCTTCCATTTTGTTACAAGAACCTTCAAAGGCCTTGGATCTAAACCTGAAACTGGAAGACGCAAAGATAGTACGTATGTGGAAATAAGAGTCATTAAAATATATTACATCTCAAAACAAATCAAATGTACTAATTTAACTGCAAAATTTCCATTTTGGATTAAAAAATAAATGAATTCATGTAAAGTAATTCTTTATGATGATCATAAACTTTAAACGTAAATTTATGAATTTGACAATTATAAATTTTAAATGTAAAGATTTATTTAATTAAGAAAAGCATTTTATATTTACTTTCAAATAAGATTGCTTTTGAACCCAAGGCAGAAATTAAATCAATGCGATTTCTATAAATTAAGGAACAAAATGAAAAGTCGTAATAACATTTTTAAAAGCAGAAAATTCACAAAACTTATGTATACAATGCACTACGCATAAGCCTGTCATTTTCAGAGTAATGTAACATTACCACACAAAAGCGGCCCTTTTAGAATTATTTCTTACTTCTCATATTAAAAATAAATTTATCCTTTGAAAATAAAATTTTGCAATACAGCTACGAGACAGCATTTAGCACCAGTGAGTATAAGTCAGCAACCACTCGTGGACCCACCAAAATCAGGAATTAGCCAGAGGAATGAAAACAGCCAAGGTTTACACATTGGAACAAATTTCGAAATTTTCAGGCTATTTTTATAAAGACTACACGACTGGTGGTCATAGTTCCTACATTGCACAGGCTATAGTAATATGCATGTATATTACCACTCGCCAAACGGGAATGGCTGTTTTGAATAGGTAAGACTTCCAGTTAAGACTTATGAATGTAATTTGTTATAAACGAGTATAGAAATGAACTGCAAAGCAATTAGACTTATACTGTGTCCTGGGCGGAAGGATACATGTACTCTCGCCTTTCTGATATGAAAGAAAGGAAAGGTTATGGTGGAAAGACTGTTGGTTGTGGTTATTCACGTGTGGTATATCGGTTAACCCATTAGCTGCTGGTGTAGCGTTGACACAACGGTCAAAATAAATGCGTATATAAATATAACTACCTAAGATATTTTGTACCAGCAGTTGATTTTGTGTAGGGAATATTATGAAGATTATTTCTGTAAAAAAATTATTTGCCTTCAACAATTATTTTGTTTATAATAATTAATCTCCTACTTTAAGCAAAACTTTCGACCGGGTATTTTTGCTGAAAATATTTAACGAAAGAATCGCCGTCTTTATGAATGATCTATTTATAGTCAAGGTCACCATTTAGCAGAACATTACATCAGTCAGATGTTTATATTTGTGTTGGGAAGAAAGGGAAAACAGGTGTTGCGTTGACGCAACGTCATCAGGAAACGGGTAGTCAATCTCCTTTTTCACTCATTCCTTTCGATGTTCTGGTTGTTTAAAAATGCCTAGAACAAGGTATCTTACATTAGAAGAAGCCCTTCAAGGATATTTTGATGAAGAAACAGATGATGATACTGTTAATAATGACCAGAATGAAACTGATATTGTTGTTATTCCCCTAGAAATTGCAAAGGCTAATGAAGAAGAAAGGAATGGCAATGTTTTAAATAATGATAATGATATTTTACCAAATAATACTGCTGGGGAAGTTGAAATTCATGTAAGAAGTAAGTTTCAGCCTTCTAAAAGCAGTTATAGTCATACTAAAAAGTTTAAAAAGCAGAAGACTGAAATCTTGAAGTGGATAAAAAAGGAACTGTTAGTTATGTCTCAGGAAGAACATGAAGAAAGAGATAGAAGAGAAATTATAAAAGACAAGGTAAAACTAGTGCACAGATTTTCGAGTTTCTTTTTGGTTTAGACATTTACTCTCTTCTCGTTGAACAGACAAATATACACGCTCAGCAAAAAAAAAAAAAAAAATCTCAGAATTTATTGCATCTGAAGCCATGAGAAGATTTATTGGAATATTATTGCTTACAGGATATCATTCTTTACCTCAAGAAAAAATGTATTGGTCTTTTGATAAGGAAATTTCTGTTCCTGTTGTACGAGAATTGATATCATGTTTCCAGTACAGGAATATGAAGCAGAATTTGCATTTGACAATACTGATAAATTATATGAGGTGAGACCGTATCTAAACTTACTAAACATCACCACTTTTTACTACTGGAAATATAAAGTCTCTTTTAGATTTCAGAAGCGAAATGCATTATTCCTTTTGCAAACTCCTATTGAGAGTATAGAATTAGCCAGAAATAGATCAGCAAGACGAAGACCTAGTAAATTCAGCATTCAAAAACCATTGCATGGAGATGGTAGACATTTTATCGTAAAGTCCGTTGATAACAAAAGTGTTATAAAGAGTACCATAGCCAGACTGTTTATAGATGCAAAGTATGTATTGTAGCTTTACATCATGATTGTAATCAAGCTTTTCATGTTTGAATCTTTCAAATGAAATAATCTGTATTTGTAAAAGAAATACAACGTATATTTTAATATTAAATTAATTACAAGTAAAGTGATTTGTAGATTTATAAAAACGCTATATACAGCTAAAAAGTAATCCTGCACTCCACTCAAAAGAAACATCACACGAGTACAATCCTACTCACTAAACATCTGTAGTCTTATTCTGCTGACGTTGTGCAAACGCAACACTCGCTTTTTCTACAGGTAAGAGATTTTTTTTAATTTTCTATGTAAATTTATATTACAAATGCTTAATTTAATATTTGTTATTATTTTCATGAGAAAAGAAACATTCCTTGTAGTTTTGGCGGTTAATGGGTTAAGTGCATGTTCAGATTCGTATGCGCTTCCTAGTCGAACTATAAATGTTGAGAAGATTCCACAAGCATACCTTGAGAGGAAGCAAAGAACATTGATGTGAACCATTTTCATAAGGAAAGTATAGTTGGACATGCTGTTTGCAGGAGTATCATAGATTATCCCCAAAAGACGCAGTAAAAATACAATAAAGCAGTAAACAGTTTTATTAGGCGAAACTTAACAGTACAATAACTGATATGTACATAATAGGATTTACAAAAGGTGTTCAAAATTCTGACCATTTGTAGTGAAGGATGCTTGATACTGACGCTGCATGATTTGATGAAAATTTCAGACACATGGAGTTTCGAAGATACTAGCAGCGATGATGATGATTCTTTCCAGAAAGTCTATGTCCAAAGTGTTAGACGTTTCATATGCAAAGAAATTGATGCTAGTGAATGTCAGTGTGGGTGCCCTAGAATGAATATTATGTCTCCTTCAGTATCTTTCCCAGGCCATTCTTACAGTGGCTGATCCATTACCATCAAATAACCCATACATGAAGTGCATGTTTACCAACTCAACGTTAATAAAATGTTGCATGATCTCTATATGACATCACAAGTTTTAATAAAGAAGCCCCAAGTGTCGAAGTGGAGTGCTGGTGTACAGCGCCAACTATCCATTTCTTGTTCTGTACTACTTTATCGACTATGGTTTATATCAATGTTTGCTACTTTTGAGATACCCTTGTATAGATGAGTTACTGAACACTCATATCCGTCCTTATGTGTTGGATTGTTGTAACTTTCTAACCAATTAAATTTATTATTCTTTCCTGCTTCACTCCACAATTATCCAAATAAGAGCTTAATGGTGAATGAGAGCTTGAAGTTATATCTCATATTGTAACTGATCTAGAACTCAAGAAACTTCACACCAATAACCTGCTCTAGCTCGATTATTATATATAGCTATTTTAACATAGATGATTGATTTCTTTTTTTAGTCAAATTACAGAAAGCAATATCTTATAAATCATTAAATGGTTGGCAATGTCTGAAATTATCAGTTAATAAGTGGAATTAAATAAAATAAATTAACATAGACCTACCCTAATGATTAACATAGACCTAACCTAATGACCAAAATTGCAATTACTAATATCAAGAAAACAAAGTTATAAAAAATTCACTAATAATTCTGCAATGTCATTTAAAAGAAGAAAGCCCAGAAAAATAAATATTGGTTAAAACTAAATTGTGAAAGGACTCATTGTTACTTAAGTAAATTTCAATTGCAATTTTACATAAAAAAAATTTTTTAAAAATTCAAGATGGCAAAACAGTTTCAATGATTTTTTTTTTTTAAATTGTAAAAATAATATGAAAACAACAAATATTTTAACTTTGCATTTAATGCTCTTAAATCATTCTGCATAAAAGAATATTCTTAATAATCTTCTGGAGCATATAAGTACTTAGAAAACAGTCTATCAGTGATTAAATTTACAAAAATTTTAAACTAAACATTAAAGCAAAGACAGTATTTAAGCTGTTTAAATCACATACACAAGACTATTAAAAATTAACAAATCAGAGATCTTTAATTTCTTTTACAAGCCATTAAAACTTGTAGCTTTTTTAGACATGTTAATTCTGAAAAAGGATACATTCTTCCTCACAGCAAATTTTTAATGCTTCCTACTATTTAATATTGATGAGATGTCATACAATTTACAGAACAATGGTCAACTACTCCTCGGATTATGTTACCTCCCAACAGCTGAACGTATGACTGTAGCAGTACTGAAAGCAAATAACTTGAAGCGTGTCACTGAAAAAAATAGTAATACAGGTAAGATGACTAAACATACTTTTAAAGAGAATTTACGTGAAATATTGTTACCTTTTATTAATTTTTAGACAATGCAAAAAGTCTAAAAATGTCATTTAATGCAAAATTGTTTAAGTGTATAGCATTACATAACTGTGTATATACATGGTGATCATAAAAAGTTACATTAATTAATATGTTTAAAATTATAAACGGATTTTGCAGATATAATGCATCTTCTTTTCAATAATGATAACAGAATGCATGGTAAATAAAATTAATCATGCAGTTACATAAGTGAATGTTGAAAGGAAATGTTTTAAACTGCAATTTACCATGAAGATAGCTCCTTAAACTCTTCCTGCTCACCATATCATATGTTTCTCTTTCTTTGTTGGCTGACATATCAATTGTCATACAACAGCGAAATGTCACTAGCAGCCCACCATATCATACTTGATATATTAAAATGGAAGGTTTTATCTGAAATTTCAAACCTTGGAATGCCACAAGACTGGATTGGATTGGTTTGGATTACTCAATTATGGCAAAGCACATGAGTGCTATCTGCCTAAAGGGAGGGATGCCTTCATGGATGACTTTCTAAGGAAAACTGGCTCGCATACACATTACACATGGGGAAAACCATAAAAACGCTCATGTAGCCAGCCCGTTCGTGGGATTCCAACCTCACACTGAACTACCAGTGCTCAGCATTTTTACCGCTCAGCCGCTGGTGGGCCTGCCACAAGACTGAAATCCCTTTTGTGATAACCTGATTGTTACAAGTATTACTTACTATTTTAGTGTATGAATGTAAAATGCATGATGCTTGTCTACAGACTTTGCAGGCTTTGGAAATGTATCAAAGTGAAACAGCTATTCAATTTTAATAAGTGTGGCAGTAGTGTATAATATGTACTGATGTTTTAAATTTTTGTTTTTGGCTTCATTAATGAAAAGAAATATTTGCCATATATAAATAAATCATTTTCAGTGATACAGCATTTTACCTCACTTTCAATTTTTATTTTATATGTACAGACCATGATTCTCTCTTTATAATATGAGATGCTATAAAAAAGTTTTGAGACTAGTTCTTTATCATGCCAACAAATGGGACTGTACATTCAGAATTCCCCCTCAGTGGTCAGACTTCCAATAACGAGATCTGCCAGGCTTTTAACATGGCTGAGGAAGGGGATTCGATAAAAGCAACCAGAATTGTAAAACACAAAAAACTGGAAGCTTCATAATAGCATTGCATCTTGTCAGCATTCTTTCCCCACATAAGAGTTTCTCACAGGACACAATATAATCTCACTTTCGTACATGCTATATTCTCAAGATTTGGCTTCTCTGTCTCACTTTCATACATGCTGTACTGTCAAGATTTGGCTTCCTCTTCCTACAGTTGAGAATTTAGTTTATCGGGTACTGTTTTGATGACACTGCAGAAATCCAGTATTAATTACAGTGCACTCCAGCTTGCCATGCTTTGAGAAGTGGACTTTCAGGATACATTCCAGAAGTGACAAGAAAGTTGTACAAGGGGGATAACTTTGAAGGTAGCAATGTGTACATATAAATAGTTAAAGTAGTTTCTTGTCAACAAGCTAGTCTCAAAACGTTTTTGATAACCCCTCATACAAAGAAAGGAAATTAAAAAAGTTATTGGGTACATGTGTCATTTAGAGGTTCAAGGATGAGGATTTATGAAGGAATTTCATTCTATTTATGCTGGGAGCAATACGGCTTCAAGTATCTCTAATGAAATGTTTGAATAGGCATGCAAAATAAACCATATCAAGTTTAAAATGTTTTGAAGTATTCATTTGAAGATATTATTAGCATTTTTGGTCATTCTAAACATAGCAAACTATTCTATAGTATTAAAATACATTTTTATATTTTTAGATGAAAAAGAGATTTTTCAATAGTTTCATTGAATTTTTATTTTTAAAAAAATCCTAATAGCAACAAATAAATAATGAGGAGCAATATGTCATTAGAAACAAGGAATAAATGTTAAAATATTAATTAAACTATTAAATAAACAAAAAGTTTATCATCTAACTCCAAACAATGTACAACTTAAAAGATAAAGACAATAAAGATATTTGATTTTCAGCATATTTTAACTGTAAATTAATGTGAATAATTATATAACTGGATTTTAAATCCAACTTTAAATATCAATTTGAAACATTTATTAATCTTTCTTTCCCTAATATGTGTATATATTCTTCTCAATCTAGATTTTTATGTTCAAGGCATGGCTATATATGCTGGAAAGGTATTTGAAAGAAGAAAAACATCAAGTCGCCCATCGTCACCTTTTCCAGTTTTCAATGAAATGTTGATGTTCGATGTTCCATTTTCAAAGCTTGATCATATTGTTCTCCTTTTGGCTATATATGGTACTCTTAACCAAGAGAATGGACAACAAAATGCCCCTAAAAAGGAGTCGTGTGTTGGTAAGGTAATAATTGGATCTTCTAGTAGAAAGAATACTTTAACCCACTGGAATGCAATGAGAAATTCTCCAAGAAGACAGGTTATACAGTGGCATGAACTCAAGTAGAATGCATTTATAATAATACAGAATATCTTTCTAAACATAACTGATGGGGATAAATAGTTACATATCTATACAACAAATATAAATAAACATCTAATTATAAAATTTTCTAATTACTAAAATATTAAATTTATAAATTACTAAACTATTAAATGTTTTATCATAAATAAAAAAAATAATGGAACTACTTAAGAAAACTGTTTTTTACACGGAAGAAACTTTTCTAGACAGAACTTTAATATAAATTATGTACTATATTTTTATTAGGTCACATATTTTATGCACTCTCTCTCACACGCACATTCTAACCCTAAAGCATTAGATTGTAAGCAAATAAATGTTGTGACTAACTTTTAGGTCAGTTTTCTATGATTTAGTATATTATGCATATTAAATAAACCTTTACTTCCTCCAAAATTTAAAAAAAAAAAAGCAATAAATCTTATATATAAAGAAAAAATGTTTACAAATAGCTGCATAGTTCCATATGAGAAATTTTTTTTACATACAACTTTAGAAATTCTTTATTGTCTATATGAAAATTTTCCTATAATTATAGTGTGATAAATATTTTGCATCTTTACCAGACAAAACTATAAATATCAAAAAGTGCATAAATGGAAGTCTGGCCAAAAAAACAATTTTTAAAAGTTATCAAATACACACACACAAGAAAATTTGTAGTCTTTTAATGAATATCAAGAATGAATTCATATTTTAAAGGAATTGTAAAAACAACTATGAAATGATACACAGACTGGTTTTTTTTTAAATAAATAATAGTTGGTAAGAAATTAGAAATTGCCTATCAAGTATTTCATATATCTGCTTTTGAAAGAAACCGTACATGGAAAAGTTTCCAGCAATATATTTAAATTCTATATATCCATATATTCTATACATTCTGTAATATATTAATTGAATATATTTAACAGCTAGGTTGATATCAATGCCCATTTTTAAATGATGTTCATGAAAGAACACATAAGGAAAGCTTCCCCCTGCCCCAAAATTAAACACCTATGATTCTATGGATTTAGATGGCTTTGGCGCCTGTATAAAACAAAAAGGCAGAAAACTTCCGACTTGAAATTTCAAGTTACTCTACTAATCCTTAAATAATAACTAAACTGACCTGAATGAAAGTAGAGAGTTCCAGGTTAGATAGCTTTTTTTTTTTTTTTTAACTGACCAAAATTTCCCTGAATTTTTATATTCTCAACATTAGCTCTGAAGCACATGCATGAAGCAAGTCTCTAATATACATATCAAGAAAAAATTTCCCTTAAAAGTATTATCTTGCAAAAAAAGTGCTAAAATATCTTCAGGAATATTGAATTAGAAAATAAAGGATCATTAGTTTCATGCAAAAAATATACAGTTGCAAATGAAAACACATTTGGGAGCCATTTTCTTTAGCCATCTACTGAGTATGATTAAACTTGAAGGAAAAGTTTTAGTTGGAAGGGGAGAAGAATAAAATCTAACGTATTCATAAAATATGCCCCAATTCTCTAAGAAGTATTTGCATAGCCATTCAACATGCTTAGCAACAATAAAAAATTTTTACCTTCCTTTCTTTTTAATACAAATCTTTTTCTAAACATTCTCATAGTAGTCTTCATTTAAATAAGTATTAAAAAATTTTTCTAGTAATTTACAACTACTCACAAATAATTTAGTAAAATATATATATATATCATATTTTGTGTACATATGTGTACATATATATATATATATAATAATAATAAATTTTAATATAAAATATAAAATTGGATATATACCTATACTTTAATAAAAGGCAAAAATAAGTGCTCAAAACCAAAAACCAAATATGTGCTGTTAGAGGCAATAATTCAGTGGGAATAGAATAATGAAATGGTACAAATATTTTCCCAATTAATACCAGTTATTATTACAAAAATTCTATTATAATAATAACTGTTAATTGTGATATGCTCCAAAATCCTCAGATTACCAACCAGTGTAAAAATAAAATTTGTACAAAAACTATTTCAGTGCAAAAAATGTAATAAATGCAAAAAATGTAATAAATAAAGGCAAAAGGATTTTATCTTATGTTACATCTGTCGATGTAAATCCTTTTCCCTTTGTTATATTTTTTTTTGCTATTTTCTATTGATAATTTGTGTACAAATTTTGTTTTTTGGTTCATATGAGAATTTTGGAATAAGTTGCATTTACTAATTATTTTTACAATAGTATTTTAACATTTGCAAAAAATTCTGTACCAATTCATTATTTCAATGATAAATATGATTTGAATTTACTTTGTATTTGAAATTAAGTATATAATATATATGCATTTATAAGCAGCAATAACCTAGCAGTAGGTCCCTCAGAATTTTGTAGAGTTCTTGAAAGTATTAAGAGCCAGATGTTCCTTAATACTACAGTACAAAGTCTTTAATCGGACTCATTGGAACTTCGGCGATTCCCAATTAGGGGTTTTTTATGGATTATAGATCATCAATTTAAATCTGGTAAGATGGCATGCAGAAATTATAAAATTAAAAATATGAAACCGTAATTTATGAAATAAGGAGCAATTATGATCTAAGGGGTATCAAAATTTACACAAAAAAAAAAAAAAAGGGTTAATATTTTTGTTTACTATAAACATTTCTGTCAATGTAAGTTGTTAAGTTGCTTTTTTTGCCTATCTTTCTCTTTAATTCTATAAACAGACATAATTTTTGTTCAGTTACAAAGTTTCCCCGTTGAAGTCCTGTAATGCAGTGCCAAGAATACCGACTAACTTGTCAATCGAAATTTTCGTTTTCCTAACCTCTATTACTTTCTTCATTCTTATCCATTTTTGCAGCAATCCACTTTTTGTTTGAGGAATCGAAACAGCTTTCGCTTTGTAGATCCTTTGGCAGCCCAGAATAGAAACTCTTTTGACATAATCGAAAGTTCAAGCTCATTTATAAAATTGCTCCAACAGTCTGCAAAAAATAATAAGCCGGATCCAATTAGAAGATTAAGGAACAACGCAATCTGCAGCATTAACTGTATAGATAATTAGATAATTTTAGCCTAGTTTATACCGTCCGTTATACATTAAACGCGCATGCGTAAATGTATTATGTGCATGCGTAAACGCTATGCATGCGCAGAAAGTTTGTAGCTTTAAGGTCCGGATTATAGATCATTCTGGATTATGGACATCCGGATTAAAGATTTTGTACTGTATATTACTTCTAAAGACATTAAGAAACTTTCAGTTTAAATGTTTTTTCAGTAAATCCAAAGTACAATTTCTTTAATAAATATTCTGCTGCTGCAGCTACATTTATTAGCATTAAAAGCAACAATTGTTGGCACTTTACAAAACTGAATGCTTACAGCACATACGTAATATGTGAGATCTTCCAACAAATTGTAAACAGTTATTCAGTCCTCCAACTCTTCAGATACAGAATTTATTTAATTACTGCATAATGCTGATAGAATATGTATAGCTTTATCAGTTATTTTTATCTAACTATCTAGAGAAATAATTTATAGTTCTATATTTTAATATGTCACAGATACTTCTTTCTTATTTTGATGCATTGATTATCTCTGCAGATTAAATCACGATTTTTCAGAACACTGAAAGCTACAGGAATGCTCATTAGCAAATTAATCATTTACAATCATATTTCTGGATGTGTCATTAATCATCACAATCACCAACTTTATATCCCTTTGCACATTAATTTATCAAAAGATCTTTTCCATTGTTATTCATAAATTTTGATTACTACAATAAGAGTTTGCATTACACAGTGCAAACATTTATATTCCATCCTTACTATTTTCCTTTATAAAATCCAAGACTCCTTTATCCATAAAAAATTATAATATTTAATAAGAGTAAATTAAAATTAAATATACAATATACTTTCTAAAAGTTTCAAATACATTTTTCAAACAAAGGTTTAGTCCTAGCAATCTCTTCATTTAATTTCCATCTGGTTTCTGTTACCAAATTTAAAACAGCTTTAACCCATTCAGTGCGGCTTCCAAGTTAACTCGGGCTGAGAAATTGGCTCCAGTGTGCCCCTCCCGAGTTAACTTGTTTTTCTCAGGGAGCGTTTTTCTTTCTGATCGCCTGTTTTGCCTACTGGTTTTTTGAAGTAACCAATCATGAAACAGCATTTATTCAAATCTGCAGCCTCATTTTCAAGCAATAAATATGTTTCTGTTTCCTGTTTCTTGCGCAACGAATTTTTTATCAACTCCGCTCAGCGCGGTTAATGCTCCAAGTTAAAACGCGACACTGAACAGGTTAAAAAAGTTAATATTTTTAGAAGATAAAGCTTTTGACATATTAACTTCTAGCTTTGTCATTTTTATCGTCAACCTGTACTGTAATGTGAGTAATGTTACAATTAAAATAGTTTCAGTTTAATTTAACACTGATTAATTATATGTTTAAGTACTTGCACGACCTTGAAGTTTGATGCTTACATTCATAAACAGTCATATCTTTAGAGGCATATTCCAGTGTTAAAAAGGTGAGTGAAATGTAAGCATATACTTCAATAATGTTTAACACTATGTTTTTAACCCCACAGATGAATTATTTGTTTACACATTATAAATCATCACTTTACAGGAGTACTTCTGGCTATGTTCCTTACCAAATAATTTTGTGAAGTTCAAGTAACACATTCAAGTATTTCATAAGTATTTTATATTCACTTACAAGAAAACATTTTGTAAGACAGCCTTTACTGAAATCCACACGCTGAGATATTAATTTTAGATTGTTATAAAACATATTTTAACACATTTTTATGCTAACAATTATAAATCTGAAAAACTCAGCATTAGCAAAATAAACAGCACAGCTAATTCCAGAAAAGAAAATTCTTGAAATTTAAAACAAATTTTATTTACAAACTATTTTCAAAATTCTTTAAAATAATATAATTACTTAAGAACTAGGATCAACAGTTGCATCTTTAATTTTTTGCATTTCTTCAGCTCTTTTGTTTAAAACTTCTGGTTGAATATCTATATAGGACATCATAAGTTTGTGATTTACATTCAAGCTTTTAGAGGAACATTTTTCCACACATGCTTCCTAAATATTAAAAATAAGTATTTATTAATACATCTGCAATATACTATAAATTTATACAACTAATGCAATTGTTTACATTCTAAGCAATTTCTAAACCAAGAATTCCCAATTAGGAGAGAGTAATTTTTCAATCTTAGTTTAGCAAATGTTAACTGTGACAAAAGGTTTATGCAGACGAATGTTTGAAAATCAGGTGATTCAAAACAGTTAAAAAAGTTTTAACATAGACCTCATATAAGTGCAGCAAAAGCAAAGGAAATATTCCCCTAACACTAAGAAGTACTAGGAAATTTACCTACTTAAAAAACCAAGTGGTCATTTTTTACTGCTATAAAAAAAACATACTTCTTTAACCTTGCTATGATGAAATATTCAAAATAAATTTGGTACATTTTATTTATAAATTTCAAGGAGGAAAAAAAAATAGAATAAATAAAAAATAATGGTGATCGAAACACGAAAGCAGAAAACATTTTCTGCACAATCCTTTACTTTTTACATGCTGCCTAATAAAACTATTCAAAAGTGCAGTTATTCCATTTTACACTGAACACGCTATTTCAAGATATTTCAGAAGGTCTCACACTTATAATTTCGATTCAGAGGGGCCATATCTGATACACTTATCAAAAGATTTATTTTCAAGCATTAATCATTTTACTTGGTATGTCCTTCATAGTTCATAGACATGTAGAG